GGGGGGGGTGGTCAGCAAACACGATGATGACCCGAGCAGGACAAGGACCAATCAAACTGTTTCCTTAGGAGAAGTCTCAAGTCAAGACATCTTGACACTAAATAATTTATTTCCATTAAATTTTTTGCAATAACTTGATGGAGTTGAAATATCCACAGACTCATGTTCTAGGTATTTAACTGATTTATGTGCCTTGATTCAGTTATATACAATACATCTGCAAATCGGCAGTTGAACAAATCGAGTAGCTTTCAGTATTTCTTCAATACATTTTGCATAGTAAGGTTAGTTGAGAAAATGTTCCCTGAAACTTCACATAACCACGAAATATAGTGACAGAGATTTCCGGCTTTTTTTGAATTTATTTGAAAAACTTGTTCTTTAAGGTAACCTTTAAGATTTTAAAATAAGTATTTCTTAGGGGAATATTCGATTGGAACACTGTGGCTCTAATCGCGAAATTTGCAAATAATAAATTTTAACCACATGAGAGGAAAATCAGAATTCGAAATGAATGAGGTTGTATGTTGGCATTTTAATTAAAATAACCAATGGAAGCTAATCTTTCAGAGGCATATTGAATGGTTAAATAATCTTTTCTTTTACGTCAAGTCAGACGCCAAATTTAATTTGACTGATGAGTGCCAATTGGCAGTTAATTAAATCATGAAGTCTCAACTTCTCATGATAAAGCAAACTATGCCAATTACAAGTAAGCAAATAACCCGATTTCCTATGAAATCTCCTGATGTAGAGAGATTCTTCCTTGAACTCACTTGACTATTTCATCTCTTTGGTCCTTTCTTTCAACTGCAATTGACGCTCTACTTCCTACTAAAATTTCCTCTCTTCCCACTTGATTAAAATGATTATCTGATGCTTTCTGACGGGAGTAAAATTGAGTGTAGAATGTAGGATTGAGCAATACATCACAAGGCAGTACCTCGCGGAAAGGTGAAACGAAGTTGAAGCAGTCCACAGAGTCTGAATCCCATGATACCCATCTCTGCTTGTTCTGTTTCTATCCTCAATCATTTCATCTGCATCCAACGCAAGAACAAGTGTGCCAATAGTAAATACACTCTACCTCCCCACTTGTCCCTTCACGCCTTTCTCACGATCTTGTATATCTCTTATCTTTATTTCATTGAAGCCCTCTCTCCAAATTCCCAACTGGCTAGTCAAATATACTGCACACCATGTGCCATGTCCTCTTTGTACCGGATTTTTCCTAAAATCCGGCCATGAGCGTTGACCGGAAAATTCTATTCCATGAAACCATATTTGGAACAAAATAACCGCCCACCCGAATAAGCGTCCGTAAACGATAATACAGGATTAAAATATTTCACCTTAGAAGAACATATATATATGTAAATATGTTTGTATGAAGTTCAAATTGACTTTAAGCAACAAAATTTCTGAATTTGAGCCGCTGCTTTTGAACATAGCTGTAGAATGATCTCCCATTCAGGCTCTGGATCTGATTATCATACTACTTTAATCTGTGAGTAGAAATATTTGATAAAATTATTGAATCCGTAAGCTTCATTTTCAACGACTAGTAATTTACAAATATTATTTAAAGCGAAAAAGCAAAGTAGAAATAAAAAATATTTTTCGATTAGATTTCACTCATTTGTGCGTAATTATTACCACTAGTTATTCATGGTTTAAAACCAAAATCTTCTTGATTGAGGTATTTTGATCATTTTGGTGATGAATTTGACTCTTCCTTCAACATAAAGGTCTGCACAATAGCATTTCAACATTGCTATCGCACTACCTCTGATGTATTCTCAAAGATACATTCAGAACTAAAATTTTCCCTTTGTTAAGTCTTTACTTCTGATCTAGTGAAGGTTGCGTCTTCTGATTGACTACACAGAGTGAATTGCGGGCCGGGTAGCTCAGTCGGTTAGAGCGTCGTGCTGATAACGCGAAGGTCGAGGGTCCGACCCCCTCTCTGGCCACGCCCCTTTTCGCCTTCTCCATACCCACAGGTTGTGTCCTTTGAAAAACCAAGTTACTTACATCTACTCTCTAGCGCTTGGGTTGTAAAAAGTAGCTTATAACTGGTCTTCGATAGCTGGAACCACTGAGAGTAAGTTGATTTTGCACCCGACATGCTGGTGATGCTCGCACTATTACTACATCCGGTATACTACTATCATAGGACAGAAATTAGACACGCCTTTTTCTTTGCTTGACAACCAATCGATGGTATGTACATGGAGGCATACACAGTTTCCAACCTGCGTGTCTGGAGCCTCTCAATGAAACTGACAAGTCACGACCTTGAAGTCGTTCTTCAAATCGTATTCGCTTTAAAAGAATGCCTTGACCTCTATGACCCAACAGGCACTAAAACCCTCTGTCCAAAAAGTGTTGGCGGTAAAGTACTGATGTTTTCATCTTAAGTCACGTCCCCCCAGGTACATTCATAGCTATGGACCATTCGTTAGACCGCAACCCCCGGCCCAATTCCTAAATTGAATATTCCTTCTTTTCGCCTGACATTCAATTAACCATCCTCTAACCTTATATTCTAAATTCCGTTGTCAGCATTCAATTTGAAAAGTATGGTTTGTTCTTGTAAACCAATCCAAACGAGTGCAAATAAACTTGACATTGCAAATCAGAATTCCGCTTGATTTATTATAAACAACGTGTGCTCGATCTTATATGTCTTATGTGGTTAAAAATGTCCATATTATAATCCTGAAGTTTTAACCCCTTCGGTAAATATAGCCCACACTGTGACAGTGTTTTAAACAGGTTTAGGAATGGAATATAAAACAAAAAACATCATTTGTGAAATAAGTGCTGCTTATAAATGGGTTATTTTCCTAATAAATCTGAAAATTTTAACAAAATATGTATAGGTTCACAGTTAACATTAGATAAATTTAGGTTCAGATGAATAATCGAAAATTAACAGAACGACCAATTGAAACATACATTAATAGAGCATTACACAGTGCAATGACTAAATAACGAAATTTATTTGAAATCAGTTTATTTATGTCTAAAGTCAAATAGACGATTAATTGATTTGAGCTTCAAAGTGGTCAGTATTTAGTAGTCATCGTGAAATGGATATTCTGGATGACCTTTAAATCTAAAATATGAAAAAATCATCTTGATAAATTGTTAAATTGAAATGTAATCCAAACAAAAGTATTAGCTGATAACTAACGCAAGCACTTCGAAGTAGCGTCTATTCACTCCGGCCTTACGCAGAACGTCCATTTCATCATTGCTAAGTTCAAAATCTAAAATCTACAAAGGAAAACATTCATTTGGTCAGTAAGCGCCTCTGAAGTCAACTTTTTCGTAGAAAATGTAGACAGCCAGCCACCATGTAATTAGATTTAATGCGCTCAGGAGTAATACTTTTCGAAATAACCACGAGATTTCTTTGAAAAGCATGGCGTAAAAGAACCTGGGCTGGCGTCTTGTTATGTCTTTTCGCGATATCAATGACACATTCGAGATCCATTGGCGATCCCAATTCATCTCTGTTCAAAGAAGAAGAAGTAAAATTAGTTCGTGAAGTTTAAAAAAAATGATCTAACTTCATTGGACCCGTCGCACCAAGTGGCGCATAAGCAGCTACTTGTATCCCTTTCGAATGACAAAATTCAATCAACTTGGCATTGAGGCAATGAAGATTAACTTCAACTTGATTAACGGCAGGTGGAATAGTTCCTGCAGCTAGAATTCTCTCAAGTTGTCGTTTATTGAAATTTGATACACCGATGGATTTTACAAGTCCAACATGAACAAGTTCCTCCATGGCCTTCCAAGTGTCCTCTAGTTTGTGGTATTCATAAGCCAATGCACTGGAATCCATAAGATCATAATTGGCACCATCTTTCAAATGAAACGATACAGGCCAATGAATAAGATAAAGATCCAAGTAAGTTAAACCGAAATTTTTAAGCGATTGTTCACAAGTTTTACGAACAATATCGGGAGCGTGGCTGTCACACCAAAGCTAATTTAACGATGATAAAACTAATATTAACTACCTTCGATGTAATAAAGAAGTCTTCTCTTTTGAGATTGTGTTTCCTAATGGCATCTGCAACAGCCAAACCCACTTCCTTTTCAACGCCATAAAACATGGCACTATCAATATGACGGAAACCCGTTTCGATGGCCACTTCAACAGCTTTTTGAACAGCTTCCCTCGAGTCCTTGAAAGGAAAAATATGATTTTAGTAAAACATACATCCGAGGTGCCAAAGGCTAGTTGTGGAATGTCAATGCCATTATTAAGCCGAAGAGATGGTGCAAAATCCATTGTACGCGATTGGACAAGAAAATGTCAAGTGCTTAGTGACCTTAAAGAAGACAAACATATATTTAAAAATTGGCGCTTAATTATTTGAATTAATATAGAAATATTAACTATGAACCTCATTAACTTACTAAAACTCCTAGCGTGTGATTTAATTCGACATAGAAAAAGTATTTTGCATATCTCACAGATGTTTCTCAACTTCATTTAAATTGTTCTAAAAACTACGGTGACGTAACTCTAAATTGTAGATTTTTTATAAACAAATTGGGTATCCTGATCTTCAGTGCAACGCGCATTTTGAAATTTTGCGGCTTGGAATAAAGTTTGGTGTAGGTACACCTTCTATATACTTATTCTATGCCGCATAGTAAGAAAATGCAGGTACCACAATCCGACTCACCTGATGTTGATTTGTGCGGTGTGATCAGTCAGAGATTACAAGGTCGTCGTGTTTAAGTTTATGTTAAATTTTATATCCCTAAATCTATTAAAATATAAAATACAATGAGCCATTTATTAGACTAATCAGACAACAGAAATGTATATTTAATACTCTATTTATCCAAATGAGCTGAATCGAATAAGGTTTTTAATATAGTTTATATGAAATCGTTGCAGCAAAATTGAATACTGCTACAGAAGTCCTCAATACTTGTTTCCGCTTCACTTCCTGAAGAACCAAGTTATTGTATGATGTATGATTCCTTGAGACAATTGGACAAGTATTGATTTTTATTCATTAATGAGCAGAGTTTAAATATTTCTTCAATTTGCCAATTCCAAATAGTGAAATTTATTAAAATTAGTGAAATTAAATTCTTTGAAATTAAGTTTGCGAGAAATTAAACATAATTTTAATCAATAGTTCAAAATCATATAGGGATGTCTAATGAATTATTTTCGAAAACGTTATAATCACTCTCTTTTCAATAAAAATGAGGCCTCGTTGAAGTTAAAATTCTAGATATTTACACTAAATTAAGTTTTACTAATGAATATTTGTGTTCTAACATAACTTTATACAGTATATTACTATTTACTCCTTCGTCTTATATGATAATTTAATAAAGGTTATACTCAAGATTTTTCAGCGATTATATTAAAAATTAAAGGTCCTTTAACTGCCCATTTGATAAATTTAAGAGAGTGAAATGGTTAACATTCCGTTTTTTATATATTTCCAAGTATCAAAAATGAAACAAATTTGCTATCTTCTGCTTTGCCCTTCATTTTTCAGAAACAACAAGGTTAAGAGTTATTTTACTCCATTTCTTAACAAGTAGTCTACACTGCACAACTCATGACTTTGAACACGATGTGAATTACGTATCCTAAGTCCAAAACCATGAGATCTCTATGGTCATTATTACTCATGATATCTTTGCCTCATAGGCACCATTTAGTGTTACTATATTTCCAGTTAAACGTTTTGATGGATTGCTTGTATACTTTTAAGAACTGTCAAGTACATCCAATCAATTAAAATTATAATTTCATTGCCATGTATTGGATAGTATCTTGACTTCACATTACTATTTATAAATTAATACCATAACGTCTCCTGTTTCTCTCTCTTACATTCGATAGAGTTAGTAAAATTTGCAATCAGGTTTTGGCACTTTTACTAAAAATATCAAATTACCCTTTAATATTTCAAAAGCGTTCAAATCTATCGATTGATTTGCAAGTTTTGGGTGACGAAAATGATAAATCGGCGGGATAGGGAATTATGAGAGATAATTCAATAAGTCATCTGTAAATGCTTTCTTTTTAGATCTAGTTTGGTGTTTATAGTCTTTTCGAGTTTCGCATAACGTGTGTTTCCTCACTTAAAAGCACCTAGCATTTAAGATCTTGATACTATGCTCACCAATGTTCAAGCGCCACAAAACTGAAGACAACTGAAAAGCTATAAGCCAATTCCTGCATGCATGTCATATGAAACTAATTTGTGTCTCAAACTTTAATTGAAGACTCATTGATGAATTTTCCGTTCATGTAAGCTTTCTCCGACTTCAAACGAATCTAAGAATTTTTCTATCCAAGTTGGGGGTGGAGAGGGGGGGGGTGGGGGGTGCGTTTCGGCTCTCTCGGATTTATGAAGAAGGTAACATTAATTCGTTCGCATTATCACTGTCCGAAATCATAGTGACTTGTTAATTGAATCACGGAAACAAAGTTAAACATTTAGCAAAATTTAGTATGATGTGTCCGCCAGAATCGAAGTATTAAAATATAAACGATACTTCAAATACTTGGACTTCAACCGAATTTAATATCGAAGTATCATTCAAATAAGCCATTTTTAAAGATTTTATTAGGTTCACAATTGTATAAAATTGATGTTTTAGTTCGCGATGTCAGGAATTAGGACACAAATTTCTCCAGACAACGCAGATTTTGACAATTTTAAGTAAACCATTTCAAGAAACAACAAACGAATACATCAATTGTAAAGCAAAATAACCAACAGTGTTTCAGTGGGGATTTGTTTTGCAAAATTAAGGATAAAATAAAGTGAAGGGCATAAATCATTGCAAGAAAGCAAGTAACGAAAGCAGATCAGGGTGTTAACCAGTTATTGATTATACAATAGTACTGCAATACCTGACACAAAGTGCCATCTACTCTTTAAAACATAGCTAGGTGTAACAAATCCGAGATAAATACTAACCAGAAGCGAGTCTACATAGAAATAACCCTTGGAAAGCATTGGTACGATATTAGTCGTGTTTATTAAACATGTGCTAACTTTGAAGTGCATTGAACTTGGCAGTTTAGGGTGGTTTTTGTGCTTTAAATTTGATTGCTATCGGCTTATTACAATGTAGTAGCCGATGTAGTAGCCCTGACGAGGGCGATTTCTCTTATAGCCTTGTTTCAAGCTAATTATTATAAATAGAAGTCAAATCAATTGCTGAGTGATAGATTTTTTTGCCGTAAGAAAGTACGTTGTCCAGGGTGCACCACGTGGAGGTAAGTCTATCGTACGTTGTCCAGGGTGCACCACGTGGAGGTAAGTCTATCGCGCAGCCCATTCCAGCTCAAACTGTTCTGATTGAAAGACCTGCCTTGCCTTAGTTGTGTGCTCATCAGCTCCTGGATCAAATCTGCCACATTGTGTACTCCACAAAAGTAGCATTCTTCCATTAATCAATCGAGAATGTTTAATTTTTATATCTAAAATGAAAATTCTCATTCCATTTAATCATCATAGAAAGATCTACTTCTCACAAAACATCTTTTGGACTCAAATTTTCATCTTTTTATAGTGCAAAGTCATCATTAATGCTTAATTCAAGCTTTCATGATTCCGTTCAAAATATTAGTGCCCATTAACCTCCGAACTCAGCTCCTCAAGATTTAAAATACTAAAATGAAGTATAAAATGCGGTGTTTGGTCGTGTGAAGACCAATACCCCAATATGGCTAAACCGAGGAATCTGATGGGCGCACGAATATACTGGAACGTGTGAATGCGTCGCTGATAACAATTTTAGAGACCACCCAACCAATCAACAATCAATGGCCACTGCGTGGTCAGTGTTGTCAAAGCCACATTCAGTGACTAGGCTCTTTGTCAGGGCATCGCAGCGAAAATAACCGCAATTTCACGTCTTGGGCTTTTCTTCCTCGGGGGTTTTATGGTACCTTAGTTTTTTTTTTCGGAAGGAATTTTAAACCTGGGAACTTTTTCGTAGAGGTTGCTGAGATTTAGTCGAGGCTAATTTGTATAGCATGCTCTAAAATCGGTGTAAGTCGATTATAATTAATTAATAAATGTAAAGTGAATGAATTATTAAACATTCTTACTAACCCCATCTCAAACAATTCAGATTAATGCGCAAATGCAACGTAAATAACTGAATCAAGGCACATAAATCCATTAAATACCTGCAACATGAGTCTGTGGATATTTCAACTCCATCAAGTTATTGCAAAGGTAAAAGGAAATAAATAGCTAAGTGTCAAGATGTCTTGACTTGAGACTTCTCCTAAGGAAACAGTTTGATTGGTCCTTGTCCTGCTCGGGTCATCATCGTGTTTGCTGACCACCCCCC